GTGGCACAGTCACAGCTCAAATGGGGGCTCCGAACCCAGACCAAGAAAACACAAAGAGAGAAGCATATTAGCCAGTTTAATTTATTTAAGAATCTTACAAAAAAAGAAAAAAAAAAAACACCAAAAAACAAAACCCACAATAACAACAAAAAACTAAATACAGAATTTGTTATGCTTCATGGTTGATCGTTTCTTACTTGCAAGGGTAAACCTCACTAAATGCAGCCAATACATTTTTATTGCATGAGACCCAATTTTTAAAGTTACACATCAAAATAGTCGTAACAATCATTTCTGGACACTTGGTACTGTATCACCACGGAAGGCAGAATGAAGCAGTGCGGTATCATCAGAACAGTGTGTACCCTTCATACACTGACGGACATTCAAAATAGAGTAGCAATATAAAAAGAGAGATTTAAAAAAAGAGAACGAAATAAAAACAACCAAAAGAGTTTACATCCACCTTTGTTTCAAATTGTCTTTGGATTCCATCATATGTTGTCTCAAGATGCACCATGTCAGGTTAGGAGAGGAGGAAGATCTATACCTACGTAGAAAAGTATCCTTTGCTCAGCGGAGGTAGAACCTGGCCAAAGTTTTATTGCAGAGATACAGGGTACCTCTTCCCACCCCTCATGGTTGATGGAAGATACAAGTGGTTATTGAAAAATAATATCAGTAGTTTGCAAATTCAGTATAAACCAGGAACAGGATGATTTTTTCTGATGGTGGTGAGACTGCAATGTGCTACGGAGAAAAAAAGCTCTCTGCCCCCTAAAGTGGAAGTCAGAAAGAAGGCTCAAGCTTCTTTATCCTCTTCAGTGCCACAAATACTGTCAAAGCAAGAAGGGACCCTCAGGGTGGGAGGGCAGGTGGAAAAGCCGTGAGTGCTCATTAAGGGGCCTGCGGATTGACCTTGAGCCCCCAGGAAGCCTGAATTGCAAGTATCAAAAAGAACCGACCTTCCCAGGCCGCGTCCCTTGCTCGACTCTGCACTAGAGGGGTAGTCTTAGCTTAACCGCGTCCTGCCAGCTCGCTGCAGCTGGGATGGCTGCTGCTGCAAACTGCAGTTCAACTGCTCCCCGGGCGCCAGAGAAGGAAAGCTGGGCAGGGTGGGTGTGAGCAGGGATTCACTCTGGAGCTAATCTCTGACCGGCCCTATTTCATGACCAATTAGGTTCCCCAGATTTATCTAAATACAGACAACTTTTAAATTTTCAACAAGTCTACTAAGTTCAATAGTAACAAATGAAATGTGTACAGGAATGAAAGGCTCAAGAAATGCTCACGGCAATCTTTCCTGAAAGTTCTGAGGAACATTTTCCTAAAGGTATAAATCTGTAAAGAAAAACTCAACATTTGCCTCCCAGGTGATGATCACCACGGTTTTCCCGAGCCACCTCTGGGTCTTCCCAACTGACAACACTAATCGTTAAGAATGTCTTAATCCAGCTCAGCTCCTAGGTTTATGGCTGATCCTGTCAAGATGAATCCACCAGCACCCTGGTGGGGAGAGCAGCTCAGCGATACTAATAGCCAGTCCTTCTATGGTTAACTGCCTGTTTTACCCTCAGCACAGAATCAACCCATGAGCTGGAGGCTCCTGGAAGCCTCCACAGCAGTTGTGTTGCTCTCTTTTGGAAGACAATTGTTCCTTAAAGTACATTCTCTAATGTTACTTGTCAATGTGGACACCAGCATGTACCAGGCCTCTCTCCCCACCTGCTATAAATATCCTTAACAGATGAGAGTAGAAGCAGATTATCTGTGCTCATTGCAAAGTAAATTTCTGATTATTATTTGTACGTTAAAAGTATAGGCCCAACTTCTTAAAGAAACATAGAAAATTTGCAGCAGCAGCAGGCCATAAATCACTGTTAAGGATCTGCAAGATTTTCCTCTCAGCTGGAGAGTCACACAGGTGAAGGATTTGGTGCAGGCCTGAAAAATTGCAAGGGTAGGAACAAGTCGGGTTTACTGAAGAGCTAAGTTTGATCCCAAATGCACTGAAGAAGTTAGAGGAGCTTAAACAAGTCTTGGGAAGAAATTTTTTTATGTGAAAACATCAGGCTCACTATAGCTTCCAAAGAGCAACATAAATGAGCATAACTAGTCATATAATGACAGTATCAGAAATTGCACTCAAGTACATTCTCCCCAATACAATGCATTGCACACAGTAAAAATTTGTAATACTACTGCAAAACACAATCAGGCATGTTGAAAAATATTAACACAAAACAGACATAGGAATTCTATAGTAAAGATGCAAAACTGAATTCTAAAATATATGAACAAATTCAACTAAGAAGTTTTTCATACTTTTCTTCATTAAAAAAAAAAATTATAAGATGCCCCGTATGGGAAGTCAAGAAAAGAATAAATAGGATTGAAAGGAGGAGGGAAAAGGGAAAAACAAGCGGGTAGGATCCCAATTTACAAGAAATATTTACATTCAGAATTCAAAAGAACTCAACATCTCTATATATACACATTTATGTACATATATATAAGTACAGCATACAATTAGAAGGTGGGTTTTGGGTTTCACCTCAAGTACTCAGAAGAAGATTACTAGCTAGCTTGAGTTGCAGGTATCTAGATGCATTTCCTTCGCTAATATGCCCTTAAAAAAGACACTGCACTTGTATTAGACAATTGGCATCCCATGAGGAATTTTTACAAATGGTTTTTGTTCGCAGCTGTAGCCACGACACAGACTGCTTGCTGAATTCCAGCAGCAAAGTGTGCACAGTGCGTGTGCATGGGTATGGTGTGAGCTGGGGAGACCCCAGACACAGGAAGGGGAGTCAACAAATGCCCATCATCACAGTGGTTGCCTTTGTCACCAGGACGCCCGAACTGACCAAACATCTACTAACCGGATCCCAGCCTCACAGCAACTGTTATGTAGCACCATTCTTAGAAACGATCAAATATCACTCAGGTACATTTTTAAAATGAGAGTATTTAGATAAAGACCTTTCTCTGAATATCTTATCAAGAAAAGAACCCAGGGGAAAAATACTTTTCCTCTGCTCCTACTTTCATAAACTGAGATGCAACAATCATTTCTAATCTATTGCTTTTTTCCCTCATGCTAAACTGGAAAATGGAGGGAGTAGAGGAAAAGGCTCCCATTATTGTAAATGCTGTCCTGGTACCCTTTCCTGTCATGCCTGTTAGACATTGTTCTAATAGCATCACATGGAGATTAGCAAATAAATGCCCAAGGGCTATAGCCAGAAAATAGTGCCTCTAAAATATTATATTCCCCTGGAGTTTGGTAATCTAGAACTTTTTTTACCTTTATAGATGAAGCAAAATAAAACTAAAAAGTTTATTTTTGCAACTCAAAAAGGTTTCTGAAGTGCTAATTAATGGGATTGGAATAAATATACATATACATACACACACTACATTGCTTTGGATGCAGATTCTTGCTAACATATACAGATGTAAAGAAAAGATACTGAAGAGTGTATCTGTAATTTAGCAGCAAAAAGGGAAAACTGCTTAAGATATTTACTTTTTGATCAAGTTGTGTTTAAAGAAATACTTTGTTAATACTTTTAGGAATTCACATCATTGATACATATCTGGATAGTCCCACTTAAGTGCAGATAGAGACGGTGTGGTATGGAGGTTGCTAAATTGGGGGAACACTAATTCCCCCTGAGATTCCATTCGAGCAGCTCTGGACTCGGGAAGTGGTTTTCAGTACAATCAACACTGTAAACTCTGAAAACACTAACATGATTTACAATCAAGTCTTTGTGCTCAGAGCCATATTGCTAAAAAGGGAGAAAAGGCATTGCAGAGGCCAAATGGACTCACATTGGGTTCAACAAGGCCCCTGGGTTCAGACGTGGCATTCAGATCCTGAAACACATGGACCTGTTTTACAGAAGCTCCCTGTTGTTAAGACTTGATTTTTTTTGACAAAGGGGGACCTCGAATGCTGGGTTTCCCCATGTTGGCCAACCTGAACTTACTGACTTGGATAAGGGCACAGTGTAAAGGTCATCTGTTCACCTCCAGAGGGAAGTGCAGCAGACTCAGTGCTCACATGCACACACACCATGATGGGCAAGGGCACGTGGCACCTCAGCTCTCCATCCATTTACACTGGTTGCCTTTTTGAGGTCTACTTCGTGAGTTTTCAGAGGCCTTATTTCTGGACCTTATTTTTAAAAAGCAAAAGGAAGTTGTTCTACAAAGAACAGAACATATATATGCCCCTTTGTATCAAGACAGCTATCCCAAGAGCAAACATATTATGAACTATGGAGGTCAACTAATTGCATGCTAAAGAATGCTCATACTGATGCTGTTGGGAAAAAACTACAACCTGCTAACAGATGCCCTCTTACACAGAAGAAGGAAATTAGGCCAACAGCCTATGAGAGTCTATCTGCCCCAACCCTGCCATTTTGTCTCACTGGAGGGAGCAGGTTTGTTATGCTTCCCTTCCCAGCCTCATTTCACCACAGTATGTCGATGGAAGCTGACTGGGCTATTGGTTTAAAAATAGAACTAATTGGGAAGTGTTGCTGCAGGTGGGACAATTCCGCTCTTGGCTGCCAGTTGGGTCTAGCGGCCGTAATAAGGGACATTAGTTGATATTCATATGGATCACTGCCTGAGATACAAAGACTAGACTGAGGATAAAAGTTGCATCCACTGGGCAAAATATGCCAAAGAAGAGAAATTATTCTCAATTTGTTCTTTTAGGCATCAAGAATAAATAAATCCAAAGAAAGAAAACTTAGGGTAAACTTAACATAATCAAACTCAGGCTTAAAGAAACACAAGAGGATGAAAGTACTAGCTTTCCATCACTTAACGTACATCTCACTCGATTCTGCAAGGAGTTTAAAAAGTAACAAAGGAGAACAATTCAACTTGAGTAACGCTCAAAAGTACTACCACTTTACCCCTTCCTCAACACCATCTCAGTTTTGAGGGGTAAGTTTTAAGCCAAAATATAAGGCTACCTGGAATGCTGAGCAACACGCAAGTTCTGCAGAATCCCCATCACAGACTACTTCTGAAGGTGGTGAGGGCCTAAACAAGAGTCCACTTCTGGTTAGTATAATAACTTTTTATTTGACATCTACAAGACTGTGGTTATCTTGCAGCTTTTGACCAGGTTTATACAATCTCAATTTTTCAATAGTGCAACCTGTGCAAGCAAAAAAAAGGAAAGAAAAAAAAAAGGAAACAAAAAGACCAATTGTCCCCTCACTTGTTTTTATAAACATCTATTATAGGCAAAACAAAACTTACCCATATTATAGATAAGTGTCTATTCACATTTGTACATTACCATTTTTAACAGCTTGAGATAAACTCTACAATGTCTTACAACACATTAAACAATATTCAAGTTACTGGGTAACAACAATAACAACAGGAAATAAACATACAGCAGAAGCCTCAAGTGTTTCCTCATTGTCTAATTTACAACTCAAGTACGGTTTCCTTTTTTATAAGTGACAAAGCAAATTAAGATAATGAAGTAAAAAAAAGATTGCTTGCAAGATGGAAGCCAATTTGTACTTCTTTCTAAAACTATCTTTAAGTTAAGGAAAATGTAATTTTAAGAAAAGCAGGCTTGTAGCCATTTTGCAGCACATTAGGAATACTATTAATACATTAAAATTAACTTTTAAGAGTTTTATCATAAAAAAAAAGTATGTCCTCATTACCTTGACAAGAAACCTGGGGCACAGAGAATGGGGAGGTGGGGAGGAAAGGGATTTGCAGGGTTAGAAGCAATACCCAGGTATAAACACTAGAAAAATGCAATAACCAATGCTGTACACCTACAAATGTTTCTCTCCGTTACTTGACTTCTGTGTTAATCTTGTTTACGCATGCTTTCAAAGACATGCACTGTCAGAACAAGAACTAGAAAAGAACCTGAATGCATGATATGCAACCTTTCATTTCATGCTTTAATAAACTTATTATTTAATAAGTTGGAAAAAGAAATCAATATATATTTGCTATATTTATAGACTCAAAACACATGCATCCGGGGATAACTCCCACAGCAATGGCATGGATGTACTGCATTAACCCTGAGCACTGTATAACATAAAGTAAAGCCAGTTTGGGAAGTTCCAAGCATTTTTAAACCAAGTGTGGTTCGTAGCCTTTAAGAAACTCACAAACAAACAAACAGACTGACACACACGCACGCGCACATACCCCTCTGCTCACCCAAAGTGAAAGCATATGGGAAGTACCATGGGAAAAGCAAAAGGAAAGACATGTGGACCACCATCGGCACCGCTGATTTTCAGTTTTGCTATCTATTCCAGGTTTGTCCTTATTCCCAAAAAAATTAACTAGAGAGAGCACAACTGAAAAAAATTATAATTCTTTGGAAACTGTCCCTGATTTTTATGCAAATGATATGCTTCAACAGCATTTCAGATACATCCATGTTGAAACCTGTCTGTTCTTATGCGTTGCTTAAGTTGGCGATGCTCTGGGGGTGACGCTGCTGCCAGAGCTGTTTCTGTTGGACCGCAAGCTGTTGAGACTGGTCTGAAGTTGACAGGAGATTTACAAGAGGAGACACACAATTTGCAGGAATGATCAAACCTGCAATTAGAAACAAGAATTTATAAAGGTTGCATCCAGGAGAAACCAGACCGTATTTTACAGCTTCACAGCAAATTCTAAGGAGGCATAATATTAAGTGTAATGAACAAGACTCCACACAAAAACTAAATGAATATCTAATAACTAAGATAGCCCCTTAGTAAGTAACCCAATTCCTCAGCAGCGTTACCCACAAATACCTGAGCATACGCATGTGTCTAGTGTAACACCATCTTCTTGGTGGAGGAACAGAGGTCAAGTATGGTACCTTTCTATCTACAATCTTTGCAGCTCCACAAACCTATGTGAACACCACCTTCTTTGGCATGCACCACTGTACCAAAAAGACGACAGAATAGTGGTTGCAAATTCAAATGCTTACTAAAGCAGGTAACTTCTAAGTGGGCAGAGTGTGGATGTTAGCAAACTGGAAGAGTCTATGCCCTGAGTACAGGAACTCTGACTCCTCCTGTGTGGGACTAGGGGCTCAACGTTCCAGAGGAGCTGCTGTGGTTTTTTAAAAGACGACGAAAATCCAGGCTTTTGCTTTTATGTTGGCAACTAATTCAAATGAAAACTTGAAATAACAAAAAACACCTGAGGGTCAAAAAAATGTTCATGGACTGACTTTGGCCCACAGGCTGCCAATCAGCAATCCATGATACAGAGGAAGGCTGTTGCAAAGGAAACAAAGACAAAGCAATAGGGAAAGTGCAGTAACTGGATGGATGCCCATGAAGCCTGTAATGAGGTGAATGGTGGGAACAGCTAGCCTGGTTTGCCCTTGCTCCCTGCAGGACTCCAGTCCATCCTCTGTGCACAATGGCTTTGAGTTCCATAGTCTCAATCTGGCTCAATGAACGTACAATGTAGACTTTTATATTCTACCAGGTAGAGAATCCTGGGCAAGAGGCCGAGCTTGGTCCTCACATCAGGGAGCCTGCAGAGAGCACGGTGAGGAAGGGGAGCAAGAGGAGCTGGGAGCAGCGTAAAACAGACGACCACGTCAGATTCAGCCAGAATCAACAACGTCCATTCAAAGGCTTACCTTCTGTTTGACCGCTTAAGAACAAGTCAAGTAAGCTCCACCCCACTACTGGAATAGATGCTGAGATTCTAAGATGTTAGAAGCAAAATAAGAAGGAAACAGAATCTGATTTTTCCCCACAGCTCAAAGCAAAAAAAATTACTCACCTACAATCCGCTGTCCATCTTCTGTTCTTAGCCGAACTATCTGCATTTTCACGTTTGTGCCACTGACAGATGCTAGAACACCCTCAACTTTTGTCCAGACACTCAGTACTGAGCCACATAATACATAATAGGTGCGGCAACGAAGACCTATTTCACAAACTAATCCCAAGCTTGCTTTTTTGCAATTGCCACGCCTAGGATAGATGGGGGGAAAACATATATATAAAATATACGTATACATGTACACACATACACACACACAAAAGGCTTACAAAGTCTGCCCAAATTTCAAATGGAAAATTTGAAGCATCATTGCCTTTACTGACAGTTTCTTAGATTACAATCCTTTTGACATATTGGATTATCCTTTCCTATTAAAGGTATCATTACTGATTTTTAAAATTACAGTTATTTCTGGGGCCTGACTCCCTATAAAAGGGCTGACTTACTGGTTTTGATATCCATTTAAGCATTTGCCATTTTAACATCCATTAGTTTACTGTAGGAATGCCAGCTTATAAAATAATCCTGCCAGTTATTCCTATACTATTAAACTACCAATAAATAAATAAATTTTTTTTTTAATTTATTTTTTTCCCCCAAAGCCCCAGTAGATAGTTATATGTCACAGTTGCACATCCTTCTAGTTGCTGTATGTGGGACTCGGCCTCAGCATGGCGGGAGAAGCAGTGCGTCGGTGCGCGCCCGGGATCCGAACCTGGGCCGCCAGCAGCGGAGCTCGCGCACTTAACCGCTAAGCCACGGGGCCGGGCCCCCAATAAATAAATAAATCTGATAGGTGGGAAAGGCCTCAGCAAACAAAAAAATTAAACCATACATAAATTTTTCAAAAACTGTGAAAAAGGAAGACATATCAAAATTTTATGGTTAAGATTATTTTCACAATTTACCAATAAAAACATCTTTCTAGTATTAATTCAAGATGTATTTAATGCACTGTAATAAAAGGCACTTTTTGCTAAAACTCAAAGCAAATATTTTAGAGAACTTTCGTAGGTTAACTTTTAAAATATTTTATCTTAAAGGCTTTTCCTGGGCCGGCTCCGTGGCTTAGCGGTTAAGTGTGCGCGCTCTGATGCTGGCGGCCCGGGTTCGGATCCCGGAGCGCCCCGAGGCACCACTTCTCCGTCCAACGTGAGGCCGAGTCCCACGTACAGCAACTGGAAGGATGTGAACCTATGACATACAACTATCTACTGGGGCTTTGGGGGGAAAAAACTGAATAAATAAAATC